ACATGCACTCATGTGTGCAAATAGACCTGTATCATATTATAAGCATTAGCATACAGCATGGAGAAAGAAGCCATGCTGGGCTCTCTGGCAATTTATGTCCACACGTACATTTCTCCGAAGTAGAAAAAAAATTTTTGCCTAATGTTGCTCTACGGAACTAAATATTTTGCCTAATGTTGTTCTACTGAGCTATCTCCTAGAAGAATTTGGCCAAACCTTCTCCTAGACTAAGAGTATCTTCCCCTAAAATAGCAGGGCCAGGGAAGTCCTGATTAATTGACCAGGTTGCCTTTGGAAGCGACATGGTATTTCGTTTCAGGTTTTTCCGACCGTTGGCACCTGAAGGTAATTTCAGTGGTTCCCCAACCAGGGCACAGGGGCGCTTGAAGGACCTGCCCAACCTCCGGCTGGCCTGGCCCATCCCTCTCCCCGCACAGAGAACAGGCATCAAGCCTCATTACTGAGCCTTCTCCAGCTCGAGTGGATTTAACTGGAATTTACTATAAAAGGCTGACTCGGCGAGCTGGGGAGAAATGGATGCTTGGAGGCTTAATTTCTCCTCCCTTAAGTAACATCTTTTATGAAGAATTTATCCATGCCCTGTCCCTCATCGTTCTTCCTCAATCTATTTACAGTGACATTCCTGCCGGGCTCGCACTTTTCGCTGCCCCTGTCAATACCCGATCCCTTCATTATTCACGGGGCCCCTAGTCATCCACGGTCACCGAACATCCCACCCTTACTTCCTGACACGTGCCCCTTGTGGGCTCTGCCCCCCCTCCTGCCTCTTGCATCCACCAGAACAAAGCTGAGTGAGGGACGCGGCCTTCTTCCCGAGGCAGCCCCCTCTGGAGAAGGTTGGTTGAGGCGGCCGTCGCTGATGCCGCAGAGATGTGTTGGCGTGTATCCGAGATCCGTCAGGGTCCCACACAACGTCCCAGATCAGGAATGGGCCTCGGACCTCGGGGCCAACCCCAGGAAGTGCCAGGATGGCAGCCAACCTCAACTATGGCTCCATTCTGCGCACCTGGGGGGGGCTACTGTTCTTACTTTCAACGCCAGACAGGAGGCTTGAGAGCTTAGGAACTGTGCTCGGGGGTTACAAACCCTGAGGCCAGGGTTCCCGCGTCTCTTGCACGGGCTGTCTTTGGACTCACAACCTTTTCTAGACATCGTTGCCTTCAGGCACTGCTAAGAATTCAGATTGGGGACATGGGGTGAGAGGAGGGGAGAGGGAGCTTAGAGAAAGAGAGGGGGAGAGGAGGACATGGGGAGTGGAGAAGAGAGGAGAGGAGAGGAGAGGAGAGGAGAGGAGAGGAGAGGAGAGGAGAGGAGAGGAGAGGAGAGGAGAGGAGAGGAGAGGAGAGGAGAGGAGGGGAGAGGAGAGGAGAGGAGAGGAGAGGAGAGAGGAGAGGAGAGGAGAGGGAGAGGAGAGGAGAGGAGAGGAGACGAGAGGAGAGGAGAGAGGAGAGGAGAGGAGGGAGGGGAGAGGAGAGGAGAGGAGAGGAGAGGAGAGGAGAGAGGAGAGGAGAGGAGAGGAGAGAGGAGAGGAGAGGAGAGGAGGGAGAGAGGAGAGGAGGGGAGAGGAGGGAGGGAGAGGAGAGGAGAGGAGAGGAGAGGAGAGGAGAGGGGAGAGGAGGGGAGGGGAGAGGAGAAGAGAGGAGAGGAGAGGAGACGAGAGGAGAGGAGAGGAGAGGAGAGGAGAGGAGAGGAGAGGAGGGGAGGGGAGAGGAGAGGAGAGGAGAGGAGAGGAGAGGAGAGGAGAGGAGAGGGAGAGGAGAGGAGAGGAGAGGAGAGGAGAGAGAGGAGAGGAGAGGAGAGGAGAGGAGAGAGGAGAGGAGAGGAGAGGAGAGGAGAGGAGAGGAGGGAGAGGAGAGGAGAGGGAGGGGAGACGAGAGGAGAGGAGAGGAGGGGAGAGAGGAGAGGAGAGGAGAGGAGAGGAGAGGGAGGGGAGAGGAGGGAGAGGGAGAGGAGAGGAGAGGAGAGGAGAGGAGAGGAGAGGGAGGGGAGGGGAGGGGAGGGGAGAGGAGAGGAGAGGAGAGGAGAGGAGAGGAGAGGAGAGGAGAGGAGAGGAGAGGAGAGGAGAGGAGAGGAGAGGAGAGGAGAGGAGAGGAGAGGAGAGGAGGACATGGGGGAGCAGGAAGGTTGAGTCAAGGAGCCACTATAGGTTTGAGAAGAGATCTGGCACCAGGGAGATTTTCAGAGATCTACAAGGATGGCACCAACTGGCAAACTAACCAATAGTGGAGAGGCTCCCTTAAATGCCCTTCCTCCCCCACCTCCCACCCCCCCAACCCCCAACCCGATACTGAGACTGATGACTACCTTATATGCCATCCTAGAGCCTTCATCCAGTGACTGATGGAAGCAGAGGCAGACACACACAGTTAAACACTGAACTCCTGGAACCCAGTTGCAGAGAGTGAGGAGTGATGAGCAAAGGAGTCAAGACCCGGCTGATGAAACCCACAGAGGCAGCTGACCTGAGCAAGGGGGAGCTCATGGACCCCAGACTGATGACTGGGAGGCCAGCATGGGACTGATCCAGATCCCCCTGAACGTGGGTGTCAGCAAGGAGGCCTCGGCAATCTGTTTGGGCCTTGGATAGTAGACCAGTATTTAGCCGTGGCGTACAAATGGACTTTGGGAGCCCGTTCCATGTGGAGGGTTGCTGTCTCAGTCTGGACACATGGGGGTGGGCCTAGGCCCTGCCCAGGATGATATGACAGACTTTGAAGATTCCCCATGGAGAGCCTCACCCTCCATGGGGAGCAGAGGGGGGAATGAGGTGGGGGTTGGGTGGACTGGTGGGGGGCAGGGGAGGAAGGGAGGGTGACAGAGCTGGGATTGACATGTCAAGCAAGTTATTTTCTAATTTAAATAAAATTTAAAAAATGGAAAAAAAAAAGAATTCAGCATCTTCCAAGCCTGTGTCTCTGAGGCGGAGCTATCACCCAGCCACCGGGCAGAGCAGAAGAGCATGTCCATCGCAGCTACGACAGGACTATATCGCAGCTCGAGGCCTCAGCGCCACACAGCCCTGGGCATGCATCTCAGCCTCAATCCATCTCCCTCCATTCAGCCACGGGTGAAATATGAAAGGCCCCGTGGCCGGCCAGCCCCCACGCCCGCACTGCTGGGCCCAGTATTTATGGAGACACCCCGCCAGTCAAGGGAGACGTATGAGCTACATAAACACAAAGGATAAGCCGGCAAATTCCAAGATATACTAAAGGGCTGTAAACCAGGCCCCCGTGGCTGGGGCTGGATCCAGGGAATGCGTGATTAAGTGTGACTTTGGAAAGTTTTGTTTGGATTTATTCCTAAAAGCTCTTTCACCTAGAGACGTGGGTTTCTTGTTGACCCAGATGGTGCCTTGCCATGGATAAGAGGAGGAGTATATTTGAGCAGTGGCCAAAGGAGCCTGGGAAAAAACGGAAGCCCCCAAACCAGAAAGACTTCCTGACAAATTAGAAGCCGTCACCACCTATCCTGTCTATGACTCTGGAGCTCTGCCGTAGGGCTGTCCCTCACAGCAGCCCTTGCTGGGACGTCTCCAGCAGCAGCTGCCTCCACCCCGGCTCTAACTGAGCAGGTACCTTGCTGGACATCCTCAGCCTGAGGCTACGTGCGGGATCATGGGTATGTCTGGGCATGCAACAGACACTTACCATATGCCGTCAGCGTGGAAACATATGGAACAGATGAGAGAGGCTGGTGACAACGGCACATCAGAACCACGGGACCAATGGCTCCCATGCTCAGTCAGGCATGGACAGTGGGGGCCCCGCCCATCACCTGCCAGAGCTTTATCAAAAAGGATGACTCTGCCCACCACAGCATCCTACCTCCCCTGCCTGGGGTGGGAGCAGAAGTGTTGCAGAGGATTCTGGGACAATCCTGCCCCACTCTCACCGGGCATGCTAAGCTGAGCCAGCTGCTCCGTTTCCTGAGGGAATAACGCCTTCCCGACAGACTAAACCGAGGGCTGGAGTGTCTTCAGATGCACCCGACAAGCTCCAATTTGAGATGGCATCCTCCACGGTGCTGAGGTGCGCCTAGAGCATCCTCACAGGTCCACGTGGTAAGGTTGCATCCTCAGGTTGATGCTACCAGGAACGCCTGGGACTTTCCAGAAGCAGGGCCTAATGGGAAGTCTTCAGGTACCAGGGATTGACAGCGCTTGGATGTGAACTGCCCCCAGGGATTCATGGGTAAAGGCATGCTTGTCTTCTCACAGAGCTTTGGGGAATGAGGCCTCTGAACCAATCAGTGAATGGATCTGTTGATGGACTCGGAGTGAGGCGGACTATGGAGAGGAAGCAGCAGTTGTGGGAGAGAGAGGGTGGGGGGCCCTGGGGTGTCCCTTTGCAGGTGTCTCTTGTCCTGGCTGCTGCTCTGTCGGTTCCTCTGATTAACAGACCACCACGAGGTAAGCAGCTTGGTCCCACCACACACTCCGTGTCATAAAGTTCTGCCTAACGGAGATGGAGCCAGCTGAGCGTGGGTGGGGAACCTCTGAAACCGTGAGCGAAGAAGCTTCCCTCCTTTAAACCGCTGTGTGTCATGGAAAACGAAGGTAACCAAAATAGGGCATGCCTGTTTTGTAGGATCCAGGACTCTTCCTTCTTTTTGGTGTCTTAGCTGTGAGGTGAGCGTTTGATTTTATATAGCTATCATGATGCCCTGCCTTGTCAAAGGCCCAAAATGTCTGCGGTCAATCAACCACAGACAAACACTGGAAACAATGACGCAAAACAAGACTTTACTTTTTGTAAGCTGATTACTAAGGTATTTGTTACAGTAACCAATACTGAAACACACAAGTACTCTTGTACACATGTGTGTACACACGCACAAATTCACACACATGTTAACACATATACGCTCACTACACACAAGCCCTCTTCTGCACATGAGGGAACACACACACACACACACACCACAAGCACTCTTATGCATATGCATGTATATACACACATACACACATGTGCTCGTACACACACATACATACGTTAGCACACACACACTCACAGACACACGCATGCACTCACATCCCCCTGATACCAGCAACGGAAGACGATCAAAACCCTGCTCAAGCCAGGCTGAAACAGTCTCTACTAGATGAAAGAAACATTGTTGCTCTCTGGATCAATGGCTTCCACTCCAGGAAGCCTCGGTTGATGAATTTCTCCATCAGACTGGCCAATGGTTGTGTCTGTGGGATATTTTCTTGATGGTTGATTCATGTGAGTGGTCACATCCCTAGGCAGGCAGTCCTAGATTATACTAGAAAGTAAGAAGAGAAACCATGGGGAGCAAGCCGGTAAGAACCCTTCCTCCACGGACCCTGCTTCTGCCGGTGCTTGAGCTCCTGCCCGGAATTCCCTCAGTGATGGGCTGTGACCAGGGTAATTCAAACGAACCCTTTCCTTCACCAGTTGCTTTTGCTCTTGGTGTTTATCAAAGTAATAAAAAGCAAACTAAGACATTATCCACTGCCACCCAAACTCCGCTAGCCTATCCACCCACACACAAACCAGAAGTTTAAGACAGAGAATTGCTACAACAGCTGAATGCCTCTGAGCTTTCAAATAAACGGCACAAGCATGGAGAGCAACCCATGCACGCAAGGACTTGTGTTTCTAAAAAGACAGATGTAGGTGGACGATGCAAAGGTACAATCTAGATGGGCTTGTAAGCTTGTCCTCTCCTGAATCCTCGGTCGATGGTGAGAGGGACCTCAGAACCATTATCAAAACCATTCTCTGCCCTCAGTCACCATGCCTGCTGCTCTGGGCTGACACTCAACTTTTCAAAGCTGTTAGATGAAAAGCTTCATTTTCCTGTCCCAAGTCTTCAGTGCTCCTGTTGTAAAATGGGGGCGGTGCGTGTTCCTCCAAACAACAGCACTAGGGTGGAGACTGTTAACCCCCACACCTACGCACACACCAGTTCCTCCCATCTGGAGTTGCAAGCACACAGAGGTATGTTTGCACATCCAGGCCTTGGGCTGGTGTTCCTCAGGAGACCAGGGGCTGGGCTGCTGCTGAGTTTCTGTAGGCCAAGTACAAGGCTTCTAGAAGAATGATAAACGTGACAGCCATCATCCGCCAAGCCCACATCTGAGAAAGAATGAGGTTCTGAGATCTGTCATCTAAACTGCCCAGGGGGAAAACGTTTATTAAAAGTTTTCCATCGCCATTGCCCATCTCTTTAATCACACGGTACTTTCTTTCTTTCTTTTCTCTCTCTCTCTCTCTTTCCCGTAACATCTTAAGCCCATTTACTGCCTCCTTAGAAAGGACTTGTGCTTCTAATCATATCGATTTTACTATAATTAATTTTTAATGTATTTCCAGGGTGTTGTGTGTATACAGACCCAGATATTTTATCATCTATTAGCATAACCATTTCTACTCTTAGAGTGGGTTATTAAATGAAGACTAATTTATTATTGCTTAAGATGTTATGATGGTAACCCAGCTATAATTTGCGTTTTGTCGTGAACGATTCTTGATATGATGGGATGTTGATAATAGGCTCAGGAAGATTAAATTTGCCAGATAGAGCACTTAATACCACTGTGGAGTTCTAATAATAGCTTGGCCACTCAGGAGGCACTCTGCACTGTCATCAAGGTGGGTCCCGGAAGACAGGGCATTGTCCTCACCCAGAGACTAGGCATAATTGGCTGGGGTCTTGGGAGAGAACCCACTTCCATCCAAAGAAGACCCAGGCCACATCAGCCCCCCAGGTCCTGCATCACCAGGCTCTGACTCTGTACCTCTTTGCCAAGGACCTGGTGATGACTCAACTGCCGGAAGGTCAAGGACACTGATGTGTTATGCTCTGCGGGATTTTTTTCCTGGAAACGTAGTGTGTGGAAGGGTCAGCCAGAGGAGCCCACGAATGAGTGTCCCTGCTGCCCATAGATGGGTCTTTGTCATCTTCATTTGTTCCGGTCACTGCCCTGGAACGAGAAGAATTTGGGGCCGGGTTTCATTCAGAGCCCCAGGGCTGGAAGAGGGACTCACTTGTAAGCCCGAGCCAGGAAGAACAAAGTCAGGCAAAGTGTGGTGTCCCTTGCTCACTGAGGACCTGCAGGGTGTCAAAGCCATGTTCAGGGACACTGTTTCTTACAGAAACCTTGAAAGTGGCCAGGCTGCGGCAGACAGGATGAGACAGGGGAACAAGCTTGTCTCTTCCGGGAGTCAGAGATTGCAAGTCGTATAAGGAATCAACACCGTGGAGAGTCCCTAGTGTTTGTGTGTGTGTGTGAGCCATCTTTCTCTCCCTGATTGCTAAGAGGACCAGGCAGTCCTAACACCACTAGAGATGTTGAGCTCCGGCCCTGTGACATGGTGGGGATGGCAGGTGGGGCCCTCAGGTACTTACGGAGCCTTTGTGATGTCACAGGCACGTGCAACGCTCTGCGTCCTAATTCAAGGGGCTGGGAGAGCGGCCCTGGCACTAACTCAGCTCTCTTCACAGAGATGGATTGCAACCGAGGAAGAAAGCCTCATTAAATCATCTCTTCTCTGCATTAGGATAATACTGCTTAACCCCTTGGCATCCGGCCTCTCTGCTGCCTCTCTCTGGAAGCCCAGAGCTAAAGAGCATGCTGGGTAGCAGAGGGGCCCGGACCTCACATTCTGCATCCCACAGAGGTTAACACACCGGGGCTGGTGGCTGGATTGCAGCTGCTGTTTATTTATGGTATTTACACTTAGGGTGTAAAGAACCTTCTGGCAGGGGGCCGTTCATCTCATTCCTCTTGGAATCTCTTCCTGTCATTAGCTAGTGAGGAGATGGCTCTGTAAATAAAACACAGCCATCCTGCCTGGTTGACACGCTGTACTCTATGGGGACTACAGGTGCCCATTGCCAATGAATGAGCACACTGAGTAGGCGTGAGTCTTCACGTCCAGGGGACTTGTTGCCAGGACCCCGCGTTGGGGGTCTGTGTAAGAGGTGGATGGCCCTAGTCACTCTCTCAGCTGGGGAAGCAATACGAATGGGATCTTGTACCACACCTGACATTAGGCAGCACATTAGCCTTCTCCGTTTGAGGATTTACACGTTCTAATGTCATCATGGTAACAAAGGGGAAACTGAGGCAGTGGAGAGGGACCTGGACAAGGCAGTGGGGAAGGTCAGGACCAGCCTGTGACCCTGTAGTAGATCTTGAACCAATGCACACCTCTGGGTCTACTTTCCAACCTGGACTCTAAAGGGATCTTGACCTCTGCCTTGTGTGTCCCCAGGCAGGGGTGGGCGACACAGGTTTGAAGGCACAGAGCGGCCCTTGCCAGAGCTCCCTCTGCGTCAGACCCCTGCTGCCCTGAGTCCACTTAGGTTCTCTGCAGAGCTGCGCATGCAGTCACGTTCAGTGAGCCACAAGTAACCCAAGACCCTGTCTCGGGCTGACTCAGCCTGTCACCAGGGTTAAATGACCATCCCTCTGTGGGACTTGATGTCCCCGGGGGAGCTTCTGCAGCTCTCAGTGCCCAGCTACTCCTCTTGCCGGAGGCACTGCCCAGGTGAGGGACCCAGGCACCGAACTTCACAGCACCCAGGTGATTGCCACCCGCAGCTGAAGCTGAGGGAACCACCGGGTTCTGTCTGTACCTTGAGTCGATTAGATGGGATCCTGCAGCCCAGCAGGGGGCCGATCCTCAGGCCACACCCACCCCACACCCTGGAGGTGAGGCCCCAGCAACTGTATCCTTCCAAGCCTTCTGCAGGTTGTCAGACCCCAGGATCTCCTAATGCACTGGCATCTGGGCAGCATTTGTACATGTGGCTGCTCTGAGCCTGTGGGCCCTGAGACCTCCTGGGCTTTCGAGGTCCTGAAGTCTCTCCCAGGCCCATTGTAAGGAAACAGGTAAAACCGGAGAGCACCAGGCACTAATGTATCCCAAGAGCGGAATTAAACTTCAGTCCTCCTGACTCATAAGGCAGCTGTCGGGCACCAGAAGGGCACAAGGGTTGGGACCCTGCCCTGTGTGACTGATGGAAAACAACAGAAGGATGCAAATGAGCCTTAGCAACTGGGGGGTTGGAGCAAGAAGAGAGGCCAGGTTAAGTGCCTGCTCAGGGGAGGAGACCACACCTCCCCTCTTGGAGATCCAGCATGGTAACCTGCAGCCAACTGATGTGCCCTGGACATTCAGGAAGGGGCCATCTGGGATGTTCTAAACCATCCTCAGAGCGTACTCATGAGCAAAGCTCAGGACAGTCTCCCTGGGGTCGAGGGTCTCAAAGTGCTTGGATGGCCCAGGTCGTTTACAGCATGACAGGTTGTCACGTCTGCAGCGTGGCCTGTGTCCGAGAACGTGTGGAGGGTGTTGGGGATTGACAACACAGAGACTCGTTTAATGATGTAAAGAAAACTTTAAACAGGCTCCAAAAAGGTTTAAGAAAACCTCCTAAGAAAAGCTCCCACCAGAGAAGCTTCTGCTCTCTCCTCTACCCTGGCTGGTTCTGCTCTGACACCAGAGGTGGATGTATGTGGGTTTTTGAAGGTGTGGTTAGTCTTTGGACAAGGTCGAGGTCAGGGCGGTTTCCGTGGGAAGGCCTTTCCCAGGAACTTATTGTATCGTTTTTAGTAAACATGTTTTTACTAAACATTGTCTTACAGCTGCCTACTCCCAGGCAGAAGGGGAAGTGGCCAGGAACTTATTGTATCGTTTTTAGGAAACATGTTTTTACTAAACATTGTCTTACAGCTGCCTACTCCCAGGCAGAAGGGGAAGTGGGTCTCTGCTCAAGGTCTGGTGTTCCCACAATTTACCCCTTTTTATTTTTAAATGAGGCACTCTTGGCTTAGGTTAAGTAGGGTCTCCCTCCCTTTCCCGTCTTTGGGGGACCTTGAACCCCTGTTTTAGGTGGGAGGGGTCTTCCCCACAGGTTGCCCGTCATCGGAGATACCCCAACCTTAAATCATCTGTGGGAACACCAGACCTTGAGCAGAGACCCACTTCCCCTTCTGCCTGGGAGTAGGCAGCTGTAAGACAATGTTTAGTAAAAACATGTTTCCTAAAAACGATACAATAAGTTCCTGGCCACTTCCCCTTCTGCCTGGGAGTAGGCAGCTGTAAGACAATGTTTAGTAAAAACATGTTTACTAAAAACGATACAATAAGTTCCTGGGAAAGGCCTTCCCACGGAAACCGCCCTGACCTCGACCTTGTCCAAAGACTAACCGCACCTTCAAAAACCCAGACACATCCACCTCTGGTGTCAGAGCAGAACCAGCCAGGGTAGAGGAGAGAGCAGAAGTTTCTCTGGTGGGAGCTTTTCTTAGGAAGTTTTTCTTGAACCTTTTTGGAGCCTGTTTAAAGTTCTCTTTATATCATTAAACGAGTCTCTGTGTTGTCAATCCCCGACACCCTCCGCACGTTCTCGGACACAGGCCACGCTGCAGACGTAACAATTGGAGGTTCCACCGAGATCGTAAAAGCGAGGTAAGTGGACGGGGTTAAGAAACTATGGGGAATAGTTCCGGGAAGCTAAAATCATTACAGTATCAACTAAAAAAGTTACTTAAAGAACATGGGACTACAGTCAAGTCTAAAACCCTAGAAGGCTTTCTAAAATCGATCAAACGAGCCAGTCCATGGTTCATTACTGGGGGAAGCTTAAATATTCCAGATTGGGAGGAGGTTCGCCATAATCTTCATAGACTTTTACGAAAAGAGGGATCTGAGTCCTTACCCCCTACGACATTCTCCTTATGGAGATTAGTGAGGGGAACACTTTTGACAGATAAGGTTCGTCACCGCCAGGTAGTTCAGGACACAAAAGAGGCTTTTTTAGAGTTACAAGAGACTGAGACTCAAGCCTCCTTGAGTTCAGGGGCAGAGAGTGATGATGAAGAGACCGTGACTGAAACTAGAGGCTCCATTGTTAGTGAGGATGAGGAGGAGTCTCTTAGTAACAACAAAAAAACGGGTAGAGATCTCCGGGCGCGACCCAAAAAGAAGGACTCCGGTCAGAATCGGTTATATCCTTCTCTATCAGACCTAGAAAATGGAAGTAGCTCAGACTCAGACTCATCACAGTCTGAAAAGGAACGGTTACTTGCTGAGATCGCGGCCCTTAAAAAAGAACTAAAAAGATTCTAATTAAGGAAAGACAGGACAGGGAGAGAAACCCTTCCCCATACTCTGAAAAAGGGACTCCTCCTATGAGATAACCCAGTCCTTCTTGGACCTGGAGGGAAGACCCAGAGGAGGGGTCCAATGCTGCCCGGTGGTGGCCCTGGTAATGGAAGTTCCAGACCCGAACAATTCTCAACAGGTCATTCGGCGCCATGACCCTTTAAGTTTCAAAGATATAAAACAACTGAAAGAGGCAACTTTAAATTATGGAGCACAGGCTCCCTTTACACTTTCCTTAATGGAATCTTTTGCGTCTCTTAATTTGACACCTGGCGATTGGCAGCAGCTTTGCAGAGCAGCTCTGTCGGGGGGAGATTATTTGATTTGGAGAGGTGAGTTTCAGGAAAGATGCAGCCAGACAGCCCAAAGGAATGCACAGGCCGGACAGCCCCAGAGAAATGTGGAGATGCTTACCGGGAGTGGTCAATAAGCCACCATTCAGCAACAAATACAATATGACATCACAGTCTATGCCCAAGTGGCAGCAGCGGCCCAAGGGGCTTGGAAAGCATTGCCTTCCAAGGAAGGAGGGGATCATCTGTCCAAAATCCTTCAAGGACCTTCCAAACCTTTTCAAGACTTCGTAGACCGTCTCAGTCAGGTAGCAGAAAGAATATTTGGGGGCATTGGGCCTGCGATGCCAGTCATAAAGCAGATGGCATTTAAAAATGCAAATAAATATTGTAAGGAAGCCCTTCGCCCCTATCACAATAAAAGTCTAAATGACTATATCCGGATCTGTAGGGACATTGATGGGAACTTCATCCAGGGCCAAGTGTTAGCTACTGCTATTCGGCCCCAAGTGGGGAAAAAAAGACCTACTCTGGGAAGGAGAAAAACATGTTTCAGCTACGACAGGGAGGGACACTTCCGTAGAGAGTGCCCTCAAAATAGTACTACGGGTCTCAAGAGACCTGGTTTATGCCCCCGTTGTCGAAGGGGATATCATTGGGCCAATAACTGCTACTCTAAAACTGACCGGGAGGGAAATTTCCTTTCTGCTAATAATAATCAGGGAAACGGGAGGAGGGCCCCACCCCAGGGCCCCAAAACCAATGTGTATGGGGCAATGACCCCTGCTCTGGGCAGTGGCAGGACTCATTCTCTCCCCCAGAGCAACCCCTTCATATCTCAGACCTCCTTAGAGCCACCTCGCGGAGTGCAGGATTGGACCTCGCTCCCTCTGCCCG